TTCATAACAATTCGTTCATAATTTTCCATGAACGTATTTTTAATTCAACAATACAATTAATATTTTTACGTTGCACAACAAAATAGTAACTATAATCATAACATATTATTGAGCAATAATTTTTTAATAATTATATTCCGTATGAAACTTCTCAAAACACGGATACACGCATAATCCAACATTGCAGTTCTCACATTGGTATCGCGTTTGACTGCTTTTGTCGTTCTTTGCGCATACCACGCATTTTCTTAGTGGATTTTCTCTTCTCGTTTTGTTATTTACATAAATTGATGGAAAGTGCCTTGCAGTAAGACGCGTTGGATTAATATGACCAGATTTATTACAATTGATCGTAGTTTTTGGTAGATGATAGCGTCTGCGAACAGAGGAAAGCGAGGCGATAGCCCTTGTTTTAACTTTTGGCTCCATTCTTGTGACCGGTGACTATAGTCACCCGTCGTGTATAGGTGGCACCTTGTGGCCGGTGACTATAGTCACCCATCGTATGCGGGTGTCGTTTTATGGCGGGTGACTATGGTCACCCGTAGTAGCGAAAGGGTTAACCGTGGTTCCTATACGCGTACCGTATGCACGCGTGCAACGTTACGATCGAGATTTATCCGATGCGAAGCCGACGCGGACACGAGGATGGAAAACTCGAACGGCGCAGATTATAATCGGGCTTTTCGATTTCGAAGTTGGCCGATCGAGACCGAGTCGATTTCGAAAGTTTACCGCGCGACGAGTTCGTCGGGCCGGAACGAAAGCGAACGAATCGCCAACAATATTCTTCGTCGATGGCTCGATTAGAACCTCTAATTGCACGTCCACCGACACTCGGCCAAATTGTTTTCGCTTTCGCGCTCGCGTTGACTCTGGCCGCGCCCGCGTCCGCGTCCGCGTCAGCGCGAAACTAATGAGAACCTAAATCGATTTACGAGCGCCCAAATGAGTTCGGGCCCCTGTGTTTCCGATGGAAACGCGATAGAGCCGCGGCCGCGACCGCCCCCCCCACCCCTGTGCACATTCTTTTGCGAGCTCGGGAAATCGGCCGGCCGTGAAGCGATCGCGTTTCGGCTTTTCGGGACAATCGTTCGATTTACGGGCGAGTCGAAAATATGATGGGGACTGTTCGAAGAAGTCTCGCGCGCTCGAACTGTACGGGAAAATGTCCTCGGTCGTCGTCGAGGATCGTCTCTGGAAGCGGTCGCGGTCGAATGATTGGGAGGACCGCGATCCGCGGACAAAGGTAAACGAGAAGACGGCGGAAGATACTCGAATAGGGAAAATAGGGGATCGTCGGTCGATGCATCCGGTTCTCATGGACGACGGCCGGCCGGTTCGAATTCGCCGACCACCTAGAAAAATAATCCCCCGACGTCCGATCGGAGACCGATCGGAATCGTGCGCGAGGACGAGAAGGAGAGCGCGAGCGGAGAGAACTCTCGAATCAAGACAGTGCAAATAAGTGGTATTACCCATAACGCCGCGCCGGTTCTTCGCTCGAGAGGATCCTCGAGAGCCGGTAATCCGACCTCGCCGGAAATTCAGCGAGGCCGGAAACGCGAGTCCCTGCGGGGTTTGTTTGTGCACGGTATATAGCACGCGTTGACCGTAGATAATTGGGATTTCGCTCGCGGATATTTCGATTTACAGATTATCGTCGGCAACGGCCGCGCCGACCGATCCTTCCGCGCGATAATCGTTGGCAAGACGATGGACGCGGATCGTTCGGGGGCGAGACAATTGCGTCGACCGCGAAGAAAATCGAGTTTGCGGAAGCGACGCGTGCGCGATCCTCGCGAGACGATCGAGAGCCATCGTTTTTTCTTTCGACGGCCGATGGTCGCGTCTCGTTTCGAACGGTGTCCGGGTGAATTTTGACCCGAATCGACGAGCAGCCGCGTCCGGTCGGACGACTTCTTAATTTCCGGCCTCCGATTAAGGTCGACGATTGTTTCTGTTAAATTTCAAAGGAAATCGATGAATCTTCGCGGAGCGTGCTCGCGAATGGATGTAAAAAAATTGATGAGAAAACTTTCGAACGGACCCGAATGCTACGCGGTATCCTGCAAATACTACCCTGTGCGATTCTCGCGCGCTCCCTCGACCATCGTTCGCGACCGTGTTCTCGCTGTCCCGCGCGTACATCGCTGCCTTCTCGATTTTTCCTGGCACGATCGAAACGAACGTCCGAAACGAAGCATGCTCGCTCAAAGATATTCGATGTTCTCGAGGTTCCCGCTTCGATCGTTGCGACGAATCGGTTACCGCCGATCGACGCGACAAAGTTTCTATCGGCAGTCGCGATTTCGCGAAAGGCTGCGCGAGTAAAGGTCGAATTATCGTCGTTGTACATCGCCGATAAAGTTCATCGGGATATTCGCACTCGGACACGTTGGTCGATTCGAATAATTGGAACGCGAACGGCTTCCCTATAAATTTTGCGTTCGACGAACCGTAAACGAGCGATGAGCGCGCGCGCGCGTCCGTTTAACGCGGTCGACATTTTTGAGAAACCGGAAGTCCGGGAAGCCGTGGCCGGGTTCGACGGTGTCCGTTTCGGGCTTTAAAGCGCGCGCCGCGATACATATTTATGCGTTCGCGAGCCAACCAAATGGAAACGCGCGACGGGGAGCTTCGCCGAATTATCGATGAAAATTAATAACCGCGAAACTGGAAACGTTTCCGGGAAATCTTCCGCGGTATTCAAACTTTTCGAAACGATCGACAAGCGACGCGCGACGACGGAAATCCGAGAGATGCCGAACGAAACGGCAGAAACGACGCGACGAGTTTCTTCCGCGGCAGCGTCGTCGTCCCTTCGTCCTCGCGATTAATCCTGCCCGGAACTTTTTCCAGGTTCCATCCGCGGAAAGAAACTTGTTTAAAATCACGGCGCAGCCCCGGTCGTTCGATAAACGTTCGTCTCTTAATCGCCGCACCGTGCCGCCCCGCCCCGGCCCGGCCCGACCCGCGCCGCGCCCCGTCGGGAAGCCGTACGCCAAACTCCGCTATCAACGTCGCTTTCGGTCCTATTTTCCGATATCGACTTCGACCGGCATGGCAGTTACGGTTTTCAAACTTTCACGAATTTCCCGCCATCGGCGATTCTCCTCTCGTTCCCGGATCGACCCTATAAACCGTTCGAGCGGAAGAACGCGTTTCATTACGGTCGGAGGGCAAATTTGGTTACAGTCGAACATCGATAATCGGTTCGCGTCAACGACGATCGCGCAGCGCCGGGACATTTCTAAAGCGAGATATACGCGGACGACGTTGTCCGAGCGTACAGCTTGTTCGAAAGTCGCGGGACGACTTCCGACGTTTCCACCGTCTCGTACTCGGCGGTAGCAGCGTTTCGCAAGATCCCGAATCTCCGAGAACTCTGATTCCAAAGATATCGGCTTCTCGAGTAATCGACCGAGTTACGAATTGCCGGCTCGAGGAAGAAACTTCCATCCGCTTCCGGGATCAAAGAAGCGTCGTCCACGCTCGAAAAAATCATCCGAAACGTCCAATTAACGTCTCGCCCCGGCCTAAGCCGCGCGATCGGTTCTTCGAGAGAGCCGAGCCAAGAGCGAAGTATCGGAAGTGGATTAAACGCTCGAGGAACACCGAACGTCTCTTTCTCCAGCGTTTAGCCCGTTGTTTACTCGTGGACGACTCTGCCGTCCCCCCGTTGACTCTTTCCATCGCCGTCGCCGTCTTATCGATCGGCCGCCAATTATGAATCTTGTTCGGTATTCGCGGTTGTAGCCGATCCGCGGCCTCGCCGATTCGGCGACGGTGGTTCGAGCGGCGATCGAAGCGTTCGCAATTGGTAAACGTCGTTATCGGGCCAGTCGTTGGCAAGTTTGCTAGGTACCTGCCAACGAAGCCCTGCCCCTGCCACCTTTCCCGATACGTCCGATATACTCGCGATATTTCCAAAGTCGTCTCGTCTCGACTCGTCCGCGAGATCGTCCTTTGCCCGTCTCGATTCGTCCTACCGACGCGACGCCGCGAGACTCGTTCGATGCCTAGAGTCGCCGGTAAATGGATATACCGCGGGTCGGCGAAACTATTTTGGATTTAGGCTTCGCACCGAAAAGCTCTCGCTGGGAATAACGTTTCGCGTCGACGGAACGTGGCGCGGCGTCGCTTTTATGGGGATTTATAGCGGTGCCCGTTCGGAATCGTTCCACCGTTCGTTAAAGGCGAAACTAAATCAGATTGCCACGCACAGCGTACAGCGTGCATCGTGCAACGTGCAACGTAGAGCGCAACCCGATGGCAACCGTGCAAAAGCCTCGGGCTGACCCGTTTCTTTAGAAAATGCCTCCCGTCGCGATATCCATGGATTTTCATTTAGCGGTTAATTCGGTCGCGCGATAAATCTTTGCCGGCCGGTTGTTCGAGAATCGAGGTTCGGGGTTCGGGCACACGGTGAACGGATAAATAAATGCGGTTCTAGCCGTTGATCCATACCCCCGCCAAAAAAGCGATTCTGCCGTTTTCTATGAACTCGACCTTATCAACCGGTGACCTATAAAGCTCTCGCGACTCGCGCACCTATTCGCGCCCTGCCCTCTTGTTCTTCCATACCCGGCTACCGATATCGTTTCACCGTGCCGCGGGATGGTCGCGATATCCAATTGCCGACGCTCCGACAAATTTTCCGTTTATCGATTCGATCGGTTGGTTATTTAACAAAAAATTCACAAGGACCGATCTTGGGTCTGCCGTAGTCTTTGGGACTACGGTCGCTGCACCCGCGGTCAAAAATGCGACGGTCGATCGTCGAAAACCGAGAACAGCGAGATGCAGCCGTGGGGCTGTATTCGAGAGTACCGGTTAAATGTCCAATTTGATATGTAAATTCAGCGAGATATACGCGCGGAGGTAGATTTTCACAGTGCTCGATTCAGCGGGTGCGGCGTGAAATCTGCGCCGCGAGCGACGCGCGGCGCAGCCAATTCCGAAAAGAATTATGTCGCGAGGAATACGCGGGCCGGGTCGGGTCGCGATAAGAGGCGGGAAGATTGGTTAAACGAGAGCACGGTGCCGGATCGGATTCCGTGAGATCGCGCGGAATTACATCGTCGCCGCGCTCGCCGCGCCAGATTAATTTTTCCACGGCCGCGTTCCCCTCGTCTGGCCCTCGCGGTATCTATTAACCCGCGGGCGCGGCGCGGCCCGTCGCGGCCCGACGCGGCATGGCTCGAATCGATCGGAAGGCCGCCGCTTCCGAGGGAGCCCGCTAAAAACCCGTATTCCATTATCGCGAAATTCTCCTCGGGTTGGTTCGGTGAAACCATTTTCTCTTAAACGCTGTATCCACGGAGAGGATTCGTTCTACGTTCGTTAACCCGAATCGTTTCCCGTGTTCTTCCGTGCGACAAGAAGCGCGTGGGCAAATCGTCGGGACTCGGTTTACGAGTTAACATTATCGAAACGGTTTCGAGATATCGCGGAAGATCGATGGGATCGTAACGGGCGAGAGTTACGACGAAAACGCGTTTGTCGCGAGAATTTTGCGCGTCGCTCACTTACTTGTTACTCGTCGAGAACGCTTCGAAAAAGCTGGTGAAATCGTAACGGTAAATGTTTCTTACCTGTAACAGAGAGAAAAGAAAAACGATCAGTAGAATGTAACGGACCCGGTTCGGCGTTACCGCTGTTACGCGAGACTCCGGATTCTATGGACTTCCGAGAGAAAAGGATACGCGCGATTTGCCATAGTACTGGGAAGATTCGAGGAACGATCGGATAAACGGAATTTTCGTCTCGAAACGAAGCCACCGATCTTGTCGAAAAATGGACCGAAAACGGAATCTCGTCGGCGACGAACGACGTTCTTCGACCGCTCGCCGGGGTTCGAACGCGGACCGAACGAAGCACCCGGTAAATCGGATCGCGCGATCGATTATCGAGACCGTTTACTCTCGACTTCTTAATGAAATCCCCGCTACGATTCAACCAGGATCTCGTCGAAAACACCGAGAACCGTTCAAGATGCTGGGAAAACAGGGTCTGCGGCGCGGCGTGGCGCGGTGTCGCGTTTTATGAAACGCGAATGCGAGAACGACCGAGAGGAGAGAAAAAGAAGATGGCGAGGAACGATTAAAATGTATAGTATAATTACGCACGGGATCGTTGAGCGAGAAAAAAAAGGACGGTAATAGGATCGCGGAAAGAAGCTTGTAGCCGAAGACCGGGGCAGAGGTAATTCGCGCCTTGTTAATTAGAACGCGTGCGCCCGAGCACCCCTCGCACCCCGCGCCGGAATCCAGTTTCTTCGCGCGGCGGTGACTCTCCTCGAATTAACACCGAGAGTCATGGATTTCCAGGGATAAAGAACCGTCGCGTTTCGCCCGTGTTCGCTGAAACTTTTACGCGCAGCGTATCTTCGATCGACCAAACAACCTCGTTTTTACGATATCATATTTTTCGTCGAGGCTCGAGAATGCCGAATCGGGCAACGAATCGGTTACCGTTGCTACAAATTTTTCGGGCACGAGATAAAAAATTGTAGCGTTCGCCTTTGACGGATAAGCGAGAAAAAGTTGCTCTCGTTGTTCCTGCGCGCGCGCGCAAAGCCGATAAAACCGATCGGGAAAGGCGCGGAGTGCAGAGCGGACAGGGCAGAGTCGCGGTTCGCGAAAATTCTTCGGATTCTCCGGTCGGGGAAGTTCCGGCGCGATCTTTCCAAGCGGGGCGACTGGAAACGCCGCGAAGGAGATATCGAATCGGCGGAATCCATCGAAAAATTGTGAAAACTTTATTCGCCGAAGTTTCTCTCGCAATTCTCGAGTTCGAAGCTCGCGCGCGCTCGCGGCGCAGCTCGAGTCGTTCGAGCGTTTCGAGTCGGCGAGCCACCGAAATCGAACAAGATAAATTCGCCGTTCGCCGATCGCCTCGAAGAGTGCTCGCCGATCGTTCGCATCGTTAAGCGATATTAAAATCGCGAACGAGCGTCCTCGAGAGCTTCGTACGGTGCGAACGTCGGCGCGAAGCCGATCTCGAGCGAAATCTCGAGCCGGCGCGGCAGCTTCGTTCTTGGACCGGGAAACGACGAGGAAAAATTTGTCTCCCCGTAATAAGTACGAATCGTACGTTCCCAGCGAAAGCGCGACAGCGACCCCGAGAGACGGATCCTCGTCCGTTCGCGGCCATCGAAGCCGCGCGGCTCTCGTTCTCCTTCCTTTCTTTTTACAACTCGACGAAGGCAAAAGGAGGGAGGGTTGGGGCGAGACGCGGAAGGTCGAGAACGAAGGTAATTCCCGTACGGGCAGCGGAACGCGAAGGGCTCTCGAGACAAAGTCGATCGTACGAGCACAATGGAGAAGACGAGCCAGCTCCTGACTCCTCCCGTCTTCTCCCGTCTCCTCCCGACTCCTCCGGACTCCGGACCGGCAGAAAACTTTGGTCCCCGGAGTGTCCCGGGCGCGATGCGACGCCACGCGACGCGACGCGAGGCGACGCGGACCCGGAAACGACCGATCGATCTTCCTTTCTCTCTCGAGTTCGATCCTAGATCCGCCAGCGAACCGCGTCCGCCGCGACAGTCGTTGCGGATATTTCGAAAGTTTCAGGGCTGGATAAAGTCGCCGGAACCGACAGCTACGAGAACTCGAGACAATCTCGACACCACGGTTTGCGCCGTGCCTCCGATTTTCGGACGCGACGCCACGGATTTTGCCTCGACCGGTTCTGCTTATTTCGCGAGACGCTCCTCGACCGTTCCCACAAGGATCTCCCGGGTTCCCTGGATCCGACGAGTCAGAACCGAAGACGCGCCCAAACGTCTCGCCGCTTCGATCCCCCTCGCGGACAGCTTTCTCTTCGCGAAGGAATACGACGACTTCCGGTACCGAAGGCCGACGACGAGTACGTCGCGTCGCACGGGTCCCTAACAGCGTCCCGTTTTTTCCCCGATAGTAGTCGCGACGCGACGAGCCGAGGGAAATCCGTAAAATAATTCAAGCGTTTCCCCGGGTTTCCTCTCCGTTATGCATTTCGCGTTCGCGCAATGGCCGGACCCGATAATTGAACGCAAAGATATTTTATCGTCTTTACCGAGTCGGTACAAAGGGAAGAAACCGAATAATAAACGCGGACTCTCCGCGCTTTATCGTTCGTTCTTTCGTCGGCGAGCAGCGGAAGGGGGCGAGGGGGCAGGGGGCAGGAGAGGCAGGAACGTCGAATCAGGACCAATTTGCCGGATAGCCATTAAGCTACCCGCGCATCCGCCTTCTCGTTTCGAACATTACGAAAACAGCATTACAAAGAACGAGTGGCTGGTTAACTCCGCTTCGATACGACCTCGAGGGGGTCTCTCTCGTTTCCAGCGTTTCGGAAAGACGAGGCTTCGATCGCTTTACCGTATCGGATATCTGGTAAAAATAGAACGGACGTCGGAGCGTCTATAGGTTGCCGGCCGAATTCGACGAACGTTATACCGGAATCGGTCGTCGGCCGCGCGACGGCCGCGACGGTCTCGATAAAAATCCCTCCGGACAGTTTAAAGCCTCGACCGAGGTTCGAGAGTCCGGCAGGAAACGCGTCGCCGCAGCTCCATCGGCGATCGCGTCGCCGAGACACGATGAATCGCACCGCGGTGAATGGAACACGGACTCGTGCTCGATCGGAAATGGCGAAAATTGAATAAAACGTAGAAGCCGCGGGAACAAAGCGAGAAAGGGTACGGAGACGTAAGCAACCGGCCGACTCGATGATCGCGGCAAATAAAAGCTTCGCGCTCGAGCGGGTCGAACGATTCCCGGTCCGATAAGCGTTTTACAAAATAACGACGACGAGAGAGTACGCGTCCTCGGCGCGTTCGATCCTCTACGAACTCGATAACGAGAAATAGAATATTCGTGTTTCGAACTGTGAAACGCGCGCGAGACGCGGTCGGTGCGTCCGCCACCCGCGCTTCGGGCCTCTCGTCCCAGCCGAATATCGACGATCGAGGAGGTTTTTAGTCGAGGTCTCGCGTCGATCATTTTCACGATCGAACAACGAACGATTTCCGGCACTGGTGGCTCGAGCACGCCGGAGGAAGGTAAGATCGTCGCTTCGCTGCAACCGCGCGGCGACACGTTTTTCATTTTCTAATCGAAAATACGAAACGGACGAACCTCGTCGAAATTCATCGCCGAACGAATCGCTCGCCGCGTTGCATCGCGCGCGTGGCAACGACCGAGGTTCGAAGGAGACGAACGAACGCGCGGAGAGTCGAGAGATCCGCGAAGGTCGAAACCGTGCCATCCGATGACCGGCTATCGGACTTTTTAATTGTTCTCGTCGTCGCTCGTTATCCCGCCACGCCTCGCGGAAAAATCCCTCTGGCGCGCGGAAAATAAAAGACATCGAACGGCAAAAACGACGAGACGCGACGCGAAGGTGCGAGGAGCGCGTCGCGCGTCGCGCGAAAATAGGACCGAGCATGCTAAATCGCAGTTAATTAGAATTTCGCCGGCCCCCGTTGTTATTTTGGTCGCGGACGCGAGCGCGCGAGACCGGCTAGAGCGCGGTTCGCCGAGGTGGCGGTTTTAAGGGGATTTCATAATTAGCAGCGGTCGTACGGGCTCATCCGATAAAGGCGAAACCCTCGCGGTACAACCTGCAGACCCGCAAACGCGTCGATGCCGTGGAAGGCCGGCACGCGATGCGGACACGGAACCGCGTCGCCTGGCGTCGCCCGGCATCTTTTCACCGGAGTCGGAGAGAGCATTCTCCCATCGTCGAGATCGAGAAACGGACCAGAAACTAGAGCGGTGCTGTACAACGAGCGGAGAACGCGTCGCGTCGTTTTATCGGAGGAAACCAGCCTTAAATAACTCCGCGCCGTTCCCTGCGCCTCGCCCCTACGACCACCGCTACGACCGTACGTAGGTACGCGAGCGCGTTCTCGAACACCGCCCCCTTTTTGCTCGGACTCTTACCGATGCACTCGGAATGCAACGCGTAATGGATGGTTTTCTCCCATCGCACCGGTCCCCGCCCTCCGTTCGGCTCCGCGCCGAATTAATCCTAGTTTTTGGTTAACGCGCTCGCTGCCGGCTTCCAAGATCGATATCGAGAGACGCTGTCGTCTTTTAACACGTTGACTGCCGCGTCACCCGTATTCGGGTGACAGCAAAAGTTCTCATCAGGCCACGTCACCCGTAATTCGGGTGACGCTGATTCGACTACTATTTCTGAAAATATTTGGACAAATATTTTACAGAAGGTAATGAAACGATTGAATTCTTATAAAAATGGTTTATTAAAAAGATTATTCGCAGTGTATAACATTAAAACATTCTCTGCAAAGTTGAGGTCGATCAGGACAGCTTGGACAAAAAGTTGTTGGTTTGTTCAGATTTGCTCGTGCCTCTGATCGGTCCATTTCGTATCTTTTATTTGAGCTTTCATTTGAACTGTAGCTTCCTCGGTATCATCAACGTTTCTTTCTTCTTCCATGACCGATTCTCGTAAAATCCCGTCGATAGTATCTTCATAACATTCATTATCACCAAGATTGTATTCATCAGTATTCGAATCAGAATCTGACGACGTAATTCTATTTATGCTTCTCCTTCCGGGCAATCCGATCTCTTTTCATTAT